TATACTACATTATGTTCATCCTTAGAGGAAGATTTAACCAGATTAAAGAAGCAAGAGTTTTCAAGGTCTCCCATGGCTGTGGGTGCACCAGTGAACTCCACACGCACATGTCCAAGGCCAGACCTACAGAATAATTAGTAACATTCTTTTACAGTGAGAAAGATTCAGCAAGAACAAACTTTCAAATGGTTTTACATTCATGTCCAAAACTCCACACGCACACGGACGTTTTCATTCTGCAGTCTGTCACTGCAGGGAATAACTGAGGACAAGCAGGCACAGATTTGATTCTCTCATTTATTATTCTCAGTTAATTCACACAGACAGAAATAAGCCACATTTTCAATCACAGATGAAAACCAACAATAAAGCCCTGCAGAAACATGAAGAAAATACTGTGAAAGTGAGCGAGACTTCACAAATAAAGAAGGAATCATGAAGGGTTTGATTACAAGCTGAAACTCACAAGAGTTCACCTCGGCTCTCTACTCTCTGACTGCGATATGGAATGAAAGCCGCGAATTATCAGGGAGAAAAAGGCTAATTCATTTCTGCGAAGCAAACTAAATCAAACATGTAGACTTAAAGACAAAGACTTGCAAATTTTTCCTCAAGACAGCAACTAAAAAGCAAAAGTAGGGGCAATATTAAAAACTGTTCTTGTTTTTTTATAAACAGGAAATTTCTCATCCTCCCATATTTATATACATCTACAAAGTGCAAGAGGCAACATGACGGCACAGAGCTGAGGACAGAGGAAGGCACTGACGTGTAGGGCAGTTTAGCTACACAGTTTAAATACTGCATATTTGGTCAAGAAAGACATTTTTCCTCTGAGATCCAGTATTTAAAAAAAGAAGAAATCAAATTTCCATCTTGTGAGTTGACAAAGCAGAGCTGGCTGCTCCAAACCAATCATTGAACAGATTAAGGAAAAACAGTTTTAAATATTGTATTGCAAGAACTAAAGTTATCATATTAATAAATTAGGATCAATTTGACAAGCTTATTGTTTTATTACAGTATACAGACTTTGGTGACTGTCCATCCATCTCCTAATGACATTACAAATAATAAAGAAATTCTGTAATTCAGCCACATCATACCACAGAAAATAACACAGACTATATATTTTTGACAGATCAATTTAGGATTTCAAAAATATATTAATGTACCGAAATAATATCAACAAAAGATCACGATCCCAACAAAGCAAAATCACGATTAAGATTATATGAAAACAGAGCCAAACAAAACTATATGATGCATTTTAAAGATGTTGTACCAAATATACATCTTTAAGTTTATAATTAGGCTCGTCAAACATCACGAGGCCAGCCCTGCTTTGACTCCACAAAAAAGAACATCCACAGGTGGAAACCAGTCTCCAAACACAGGAACATATCACAGCGAGACGTGTCAGGGAGTTCAGCTTCATCTCCTTTGTCGACGTGCAGGGGAAATGTCCTTAAACATCACAGATGACAAATGTTGCTTTGTCATCGACTTCTTGCAGTTTGAGCTTCTGTCCGTCACTCACACAAACTTAGCTCAGCCACAGGATTAACACAACAGAAACAGAAATAAACTTCTCTTTTCTGTGGAACAGAGACAAAACCGCATGTCCAAACACACGCACGAAAACGTCAAGAAATATACAAACGCTCCGAAAAACACAAACATATTTGTGCACGAGGCAAGGCCACAGGAAGTGAAATGAGCCAGGCGGCTGACAAATGCAGAGAGTAAGCTGGTCCGTTTGGCTTTGATGAGTCGGTTAATTAGAGGCAAATCTGCAGCTGGATTAAGTGAAAATACTAAACTATATGTGAACATCCTAAAGAATTAAACCAATGCAATCAGCAGCTCTCATCACATCATTGGATTATCATTTCAGACAGAAGTAGTCGACTACAGAAAAACAATCAAATCTAATTCCTCAAAGATACCACAGAAAATTGTAGTATCCAGGGACAGTTAAGGTCACTTATGAAGGGAAGACTCCAGATGTTTGCTGGTTCGAGCTGCTATACTGGAAAATTTCTCTGCACAGTCTGTAAATGACTGAATCTTACTTGCATTAGCTAACAGGTGCTAATGTAAGTAAAGCATCTATTCATTATAACGGTCACTAGTCATAGTGTTTACCAACCAACTGCAAGACGACAAATCAAAGGGAACTACTGATTGGACTGCATTGAGGACCAGCTCCACCTTCATTATTTTTACCTGGCTCGGAGGGGGAACAGTGCATTCTGGGAACAGTGCATTTATTTTAGCAGAGTACCGTACACAGAAATAACATAAATAAATCAGCTTGGCAAAAAAAAAAAAAAAAA